AGGTGGGCGACAGGACCTTCGGGGTCCCGCCTTGGCGCTCGGGGTCGCCATGGGGGGACGCCGGGCCGGCGCCTCTCGGCACCTCCTCCGCCTTCTCTGAGGTAGGTGTGGGGGGGTGCCAGCCGCCCTCAGCCGCCTCTGCCGGGTCCTGCTGGGCATCCCCCTCGCCCCGGTCGCCCTTTGACTTCAGGGCCTTGAGGAGCTTCAGGCTCCTCTCGTACTCCAGGAGCTGGCCCAGGAAGTTGAAGTTGGGCGAGATGGACGGGCGACGGTCCTTAACGAACCTGCCAAGAGGCACAGACAGCCCCGGTTGGCACGTGGTCCTTCAGCAGGTCAACCCTACTCTCTCAGTCTCTATGGGGAGGCATTGCCCAGGACCTTCTGACCAGACCCTCTGAAGAAAGGGGTCTTGGGGAACCATGCGGCCTTGGGATGCCCCAGGGATAGAGCTGGGACTGCCTCCCCATTCCATTTTACTGCTACCAAGCACTCCCTGTTGCATGCACCTTATGAAGGCAGGTCTGCTTTGGTCTCACCGGGACTGAGCCAAGGTAAGACAGAGCTCCAAGGAGCTCCCACCCTCTCCTTCTGGGCTCAGATTGCTTTCCTTCCCTGCACTGAAGTATACTGGCGTAACCCCTCCCCGCCCTCTGGGGAAAACTCACCTGTAAGCATCATCTGACGACATACCCATGGTCTTCATGATGTAGGCGATGGCAATGGTGGCCGACCGGGAGATCCCGGCCAAGCAGTGCACAATCACCTGGCAGCTGGACACCTTGGCCTTGTCTAGAGCACGGTAGAGGAAATGGAGAGAAAAGCATCGATGCAATCAGAGATGGTGAGCAAAACGACTCTAGTCTCCCTCCCCAACCCTCAATTCCCTTGTGTGAAGGAACAAGGGTTTTTGGGAGTAAGACCACACGGAGGACAGAAGAAGCGTTCAGGCCTTGAAGGCTGAGAACTGGAGAGTCTGCAACTATTGTTAACAAAAACTCACCAATGAATTCAATGGACTTGTCCAGCCAGGGGAGCAGCTTCTCACAGTAGTTGTCGTTGACAGGAATGCGCATGAAGTGACTATCACAGATGAAGTCTGGCTTGGGACAGGAGTTGCTGGCATTGAGGACATAGCTTATCCCGTTCTGCGTCATCAAGTCCTGGTGGGAAAGAAGCGACTGAATGATCGGCTGAGTTCAGCCTGCACTGAGTGCTGAAGATCTGTCTTGCCACGCGCTCCCTGCCTTTTCCTATCCCAATATTTCCTCCTGTGTATCTCCCACTGCTGCCTTGGCCTAGCTGATGATAGCACAGCAGATATCAGCTGAGAAAGTTGTGTAGATTTAGACAACACAGGTTTGAGCCTCAGCAGATCTTTACTTCGGTCCAAGTAAAAGTAAGCAAGACCAAGAACGACTGGAAGGGGGTCTCAGAGAGGAAAAGCCAAGAACCCCAGTATGACAGGAATAGGAAAATACAAGAAAGACAATCAGGAACAACTCTGGCGGAAAGCTTTGAAACATTCAGTTGAGGGAGAGAGGAAGTATCTCACCAACCGAGTGGGGCGAGTCATTGGTAGTACCCTATGTTAACCAATGTCAACCCATGCCTTTCCCCCTACAACCCTCAGAAATGCATTGGGAGTTCTCAACGATTTATTAGCTGCTCACAGTTCTTCACTGTGAACATACGCTCTTGGTTGGGACATAGGTAGGTGGCGAGGGGAACCATCTCTTCCCTCTTTCGGACACTGGAGTGACCCTGGACTTGTTTTCTGTGACTTTTCTGCTTTGGCCACTCAACGGCCACCATCACTGCCCATATTTCTGACTCAGTAAAATGCAACGGCACAAGGGAGACCTTAGGTAAATAGGATCAGATGAAAAACTGCAATGAGGGGGTGAGGTTTGACCCACGGATCATGCATCAGGGAACTGGCTTGCTGGGTGCATACCGCTGCATCCACACCAACCTCCACTCCTTCCCTCCCAGGGCTATGGCCAGCTTCCCCTGTACATGGTGCTGACACAAAATTTATGGCTCACCTGA